CAGCAGATCGTCAAGCACGACCAAGACATGGCGCACAACATCCAGGACCTCCAGCCCATGACTGCCGGCCGGGAGCTGAGCGGCAAGCCGGTTATCTGGGAGCCACTTGTCCATGCGCCGCTGCAGACCGCGGCTGCCACCACCAGCGTGGCCATCGCATTGACACACCAGCAAAGTCTGGCGACGCACATCTTCCTTCCCCCTTCGTCCATCTCCAGCCCTCTCTCCCCTGACTCAGCTGCTCTCCTGCACCATCGTCGCTCTCAACCCAGCCTGGGGGGCTCCCGGCAGTCCTCCGTCAGCTCACCTGCCTCGGGGCCGCAGTCCCACCTGCAGACGCCTTCAGCCGGCTCGCCGTGTTCTCCCGTGGTTCAGTGCGTGCCCCCCTTGGAAAGTACGCTGGGCAAAGGTCAAGTCCTGCCGCGGCCTGTTCAAAAGGGGGACCCCATCCCTGGGATGAGCCAGCCTCAGCTGTCTGAAACGCGGGGTACGTCAGTCTCCACATCTCTCTTGCAGCAGGCAGCACACAGCACATCCATCCCGCCAGGACGAACTCTGCACTACAGTCTCTCTCGGGCCACCGGATCTCATATTTCCCTGTTCTTGCAGCCTCAGCAGATGGTCAAACATCGGAGTTCCCAGGGCCTTTCGGTGGGATGTCTGACGCAGGATGTCCGGCCGCTTTCGGCTTCTCAGCCTTCCTTGCCAAACCGGCTCACCCAACCCTCGGACATGGGGTCGTCCCAGCAGGCGCGGAAGTCAGCCAGGAACGTCACGTACCGTTCCTCTCCGTCGGTTCCTGGTCTGTTAGGGAAAACAAGCACGGGGGCCACTGGGCAGCCCGGTTCCTCCCAGCAGCCCCCTTCAGGGTCCAGCCGGTCAGTGAGTGGGGCCACCACCCCTCAGTCACCTGCCTCCGCTCCACGGCACAGCGCCGCACCTTCCCGTAAGGGTTCTGTAGCATTCAGTCCTGACGTCAACACGGGGAAACCGAAGCTGCCATCTCATATGTGAAACCAGGGTAAACACAGGGCTACTAGTCCCTTCTTGGGCAGGCCTTGGGGGCTGATCTGGGGGGGGGCAAGGAAAGAGACACGCCGCAGAATCCTGAGGGCCGATGTCCAGGCCTGGCATAAGTCCATTGGAAAGGGACTGGGAAGTGTTTCTACACGGAGATCCTACGAAGAGGAACAGAAACCATCAGATACCCAAGATATGATCTACAATTTGGTTTCTTCGGGTAGCAAATTCTCTCGGGTCAAGTTAACTGCAACAGCAAACTCCTTCGCAACCATGTTGTGAGTCCACTCCAGCGGAAGAAGCTGGAATCCTGAGCCTGACGATCTTCGGGGTGTCCATTTTTCAACCGCACCAAAACGGGGCCCCCCAGTTACTTTAGCGGACACGCCAAAATGGAGTGTTTTTCCTGACCCCTGCCTTTAGGAATCTTTTTTAACGGCCAGATAATCGACGTAGTGACCTCTTTCTCTCCGCTCTTCTTGCCCCAAATTTGTGCAATATCCACCTCAAGATGTTTTGTGCGAGTGTGCGTTTAACTCTAGAAATCCCGTTTCCGTGCCAGAGGGAGGGGATTATGGACTTTGTTTGCCCTATCCCCAAACCACTCATGTCCTCTCTCTGTAGTGGACAGAGGAAGAAAAATCCATTGAATTTCCTGAATACAGATAGTCCCCGACTTACAACAATTTGTTTAGTGACCAAAGTTACAACAGTACTGAAAAATGACCATTGTTCACACTTACGACTGCTGCAGCATCCCTAGGGTCACGTGATCAAAATTCAGATGCTGGGCAACTGGTTCATATTTACGATGGTTTGCAGCATTCCAAGGTCACATAATCCCCTTTTACGACCTTTTGACCAGCAAAGTCAAAGGCGAAGCCAGGTCCACTTAACGACCGTGTTCCTATCTTCACAACTGAAGGGATTCACTTTATGACATTGGCAAGAAATATTGTAAAATGGGGCAGAACTCACTTCACAACTGTCAGAAATTGGGGGGGTCTGTGGCGGTCGTTAAGTCGAGGACTACCTGTAAACCTACCATGCAAGAGGGTGGAGCTTGCATTGTGACATCACAATGCATCTTTTTGTTGTCGTGGGGGGCATTATAGCGGTGCCTGTGGCCCTAGGCTCAATTTTTGCACTGAGCCAGACTCAAAGTCCCCTAATACTGAGCAGGTTTCGATTTCCCATAATCCCCGGCTCTGATAACACCTTTACTGCCAATTTCCCTGCTAATATTTCGGAAACCATTGTGCTCTTGACTCGCCCTTCGAGGTTTCCACCCTCTGAAGGCTTGTCTTTTTTAAAACAAAAACAAAAAAAAGAGAAAATGAAAAAGCGAGAATACTAGCCATCATTACGGCGTACCAAAGCTGGTTAAAGTATAGTAAGAGGCCCTTTGCAGTCTTTTACACTTAACTTGCATTCTTGGTCTACCCACCCAAGGCCAGCGGTGGAATTAAGGGTAGGAAGTTATCGTGAAACTCTCTCACAAAAAAAGAGAGAAAGAATAGTCCCAAGATCTTGTTGTGTTAGAACGATTGTGAGTACGCAAGCCTGTGTGTACTCCACTGTGACTGTTCAAAGTTACGACATCACTGAAAAAAGCCACTTAGCGCCGTTTTTCACACTTAGGACCGTTACAGCAATCCCTTGGTCGCCTGATCAAAATTCAGCCGCTTGGCAACTGACTCCTATTTATGACGGTCGCAGCGTCCCTGGGGGGGGTTCCTGTGACCAATATGAGTGAGTCAATTTGGGAAGCCAGATTCGCTGAACGATTGAGTTACTAATTTAGCAACTTGCAGGGATTCACTTCACGAAGTCGTAAAATGGGGGTAAAACTCACGTTAACAAATTGTCTCGCTTAGCGACAGAGATTTTGGGGCTCACTTGTGGACATTAAGTCGAGGAATACGTGCAATTTGCCAGAACGAGGAAGGTCCCTGGGTTCTAGCCAAGAACTCGACGGTGCCCGCTGTAAAACGATATTTCGGCAATGATTCCAGCACTGTGTACGGTCGTTGAAATGCTTCTTAACGTACTTACCTCTCTGCTTTGTGAACTCGTTTGTAAAAACACCAGGAATGGAGCAGGATCCAGTTTCCCGTCAGAGTCAGGTTTACGGGCATAGTGCAATTCTCAAGGAGCATTAATCATCCAGAGAATACGGCATGTATTCTTAAATTAACCCTGCAATGGAAGACGGTGATCTCCCGCCAATTTTTTATCTCGGATAACTGTCTGGACAGACGAGGGAGGCTCTTTCCTTTGAATTATACCTTCCTTGTCTTTTGAAATGTCTTTGAGCCAGTGGTCTGCCAGCTAATGGGTGGGGGTCTTTGCTGCCAGCTGGTCCACGCTGTGAGCCACGGAAGAAGTTCAAGATAGCCCCATGAGTGGCTCTGCTTTTATCCCTGTCCATTTATATCCCGAGGGACCTTTCCACAAAGACTTATAATTTAGTAGCAGAGTGTCTAATTCTCCGTCCTTGTGCCTAAAACTCTATCAGGGTCACCGAGTCCTTCAAAACAAATCACCTGATCTCTCTCCTCTTCCGGGAAAACAGGCCCCTCTGTGACCCAGCCATCCTAGGAACCGTAGTTTGTGATGTGTGCATTCCGTGTGGGCTCTTTGCCCAAACAGCCAAACTTTGATGTGACCAACGTTGCTTTCCGATCCAGCCAAGTTACCGAATTAGGGTAGAGTAACTGCCTGGAACTTTTTTTCGATTTCTCTCTGATCTTTTTTCCACGTAGCAAGCTCCAACTGCCAATCTTATTCCCCCTCGCGCTGTAAAATGCTTTTTTTCTCTTTTTAGTACCTGGTGCTGTCGGGAGGGCAGTTTCAAGGGGGGGGGAAGGGACAGGGGGCGCGCAGCGGCGTTGGTCCGTCGTCTCCAGCCGGAGAAACGGAAGGGAATGGATCTTGGGCGTCTTCTCTTGGGTCTAGGACAACTCGCCAGGGGTAAACTCGCCACGCGGCCAACTCAGTTGCCTTGGGAAAACTCGCTGCAGGATAATGGATGGAAGCTGATCAAGGAGAGAAGCAACCTAGAATTAAGGAGAAACTTCCTAACAGTGAGGACAATTTACCAGTGGAACAACCTGCCTCCAGAAGTTGTAGATGTTTCCATCACTGGAGGTTTTTAAGAAGAGGCTGGACAGCCACTTGTTTGAGATGGTACAGGATCTCCTGCTTGAGCAGGGGGCTGGACTGGAAGACCTCCAAGGTCCCTTCCAGCTCTATTCTGTAACTAATTAACTAACTAATCAGTGGAACTGCTTGTGGGTGCTCCATCCCTGGAGGCGTCTAAGAACTGGTTCTGTTAATTCAACACAGGATAACTCCACAGAGGGACAACGGAATTGCAGCGGGCCTTGTCTGGCTTAAGGGTTGAGCCTTCTCGAGTTTGAAGTCCTCAAGGGTGGGATGAGCTGCAATTCTACGTGTCCCGCTCTTCGGCTATCCCGCGTTGAATTGTTCTGCAGAGAGCTTTCCTGGGACGAGTTGGCCGCAGTGAGTCGGTGATGGATGACGGCAACGGCGAGTTGTCCCATTCCATCCCACCGCTGGGAAGAAAACCGTCTGGAGAAGCGCGGGGTCCCTCCTGCGTGTCTGGGGCAAGTCACGGTACTTGTTCAGGGATGCCGTCCCTGCGAGGTGGGTCTCTGCCAGCTTGGACCCACCTAGCAGACACCTTTGTGCTGCGCGCGGCCGGCGAGAGCGTCCCAAATCGCCTTCCTGACCCCCTTTACTCTTCGCCCTTAGTCTCCTCTGGAAGGAGAATTCAATCGCGTAGACTGAAAAACATTCCAGAAGTCCTTGTTTACACTCGATCGGGTAGAGCCATCTGTAGCTGCTGTTCCCCATAGATACACCGTCGGGGGGTGGGGGGGGTGGAGAAAGAGGTGCTCCCTTTCGTCTCGGTTGGCCTGGGGTGCGATAGGTTGTGGTGGTACCCGTATTCGGGGCTATTCGGGGATGGTTGGCACCTGGGCTAGGATAACGTCCATCCGTACAAACAGGAGATTGAGAAAAAAAAAACAGGCTCCTTTCTGGTCGGCCTGGAGATGACCCAAAGATTCTCCCCGCAGAGTTTTGTCTCCGTGGGGTTTCTTATACGTGGGTGCTGGCCAAGGGAGTCTGTGAGATCAAACAAGCCTCTTTATCCAACGAATCACGAGGGAGCGCCAAGCGTTAATGCGTTGGGGGGCTCCCTTTATGGGTCGGCCGCTTCTGGGTTTGGGTGTATGTGTGTGTGCGTGTGTGTGCGTGTGTGTGCCTTTGCGTGCCCCTCTCCGTGGCGTGAGTTTTGCGTGCCTGCCTCTGGATGCGTGTGCGGTTATTCTAGGCACCAAAGACCAACGACGGGTTCGCCCCCTTTGCACTCCGCGTCGCTCGGTGTACGAAGCTTGTAGGTTTCATATCGCGAGAACATTTTGAAGCTTGTTGGGGGTTTCTGGGGGTTTTTTTTTCCCGTTTTTTTTTTTTTTAAGAAAGAAAAATTACGTTTGGTTTAGTTCGGTCATTGTACCTCAAGAGTTTTCAATAATAAAGAGAGACTCGAAGGCCCGGCTTCCGCGTGTTTCTTACGAAGAGCCCGCAGCAGAGGACTAGAAGCAGGGTGAGGTCTACTGTGTTTTAGCAGTCAAGAAATGTGCAAAAGTACAAGGATATATTCTGAAATAGATACACCTGGAGGTGTAGAGGGAGGAAGGAAGGAAAGAAGGAAGGAAGGAAGGAAGGAAGGGAGGGAGGGAGGGAGGGAGGAGGAAGGAAGGAAA